ATATATATATACACACACATATATATATATATATATAGTAAAGAATTATGCTAGTACTATGTGTTCAGAGGGTTATGTGTGATATATTAGTAAAGAATTATGCTAGTACTATGTGTTCAGAGGGTTATGTGTGATATATTAGTAAAGAATTATGCTAGTACTATGTGTTCAGAGGGTTATGTGTGATATATTAGTAAAGAATTATGCTAGTACTATGTGTTCAGAGGGTTATGTGTGATATATTAGTAAAGAATTATGCTAGTACTATGTGTTCAGAGGGTTATGTGTGATATATATTTTAATTAGTTTATATAAATGTTTATATATAATATGTGTCCCTCTGCGAAATCCAGGCTAAAGTCTCAAAATCTAATTGTGAGATAACAAGCATCAAAGTTTGATTTCAACCATTCATTTCACTATGATATCAATCTTTGACATGGTCTTACTCAGTCAATATTAAAGAGATCAATGTTACATTTTTACAGCATGTTCTTATGAAGTATGATTTTATGTAAAAACAAACAAACAGTAAATCGCCAAAACAATGACTTTAGCTGGGTTTTCACAGCCAGGGTCCCATTTATTGCAATATGTGTTTTTGAAAAACTTCAGTAAAAAAAAAAATGTTATTGACCCGCTTACATTTATTCTGAACTTCAGATATGTAACATAATATATTTGTGGCTGATTGTTACATTGTATTACATCATTGTTGAAATAAACACCGCTGTCTTTCTCACACTGATAGACGCTGTTGAATAATGAAGTACATACTGGTGACAGGCGGTGTGATATCTGGCATTGGCAAAGGGATCATAGCCAGCAGTGTGGGCACTATACTCAAATCATGTGGCTTGCATGTCACTGCTATCAAAATCGACCCCTATATCAACATCGATGCAGGCACTTTCTCTCCCTATGAACATGGTAAGTGCAGGCTACTTTAAATTTGATTTTTATGTTTACGATACATAAATAAGAACTGCTACATGAGACATTTGTTTTGCAAAATTGGTTAGTCATTATTTTGGGCTACAGCATATATAGAGCATAACATACTGATGTCTTTTGTTTCTATCAGCATCCACATGCCACTGTCAATCTCTCTGACGCTCTGTTTAACAGGTGAAGTGTTTGTGCTGGATGATGGAGGCGAGGTGGACTTGGATTTAGGGAACTATGAACGTTTTCTGGACATCCGGCTAACCAGGGACAACAATTTGACAACGGGGAAGATCTATCAGTCTGTTATAAACAAGGAGAGGAGAGGGGATTACTTGGGTAAAACTGTACAAGGTGAGTTACACTGATGTTTGGAACATAAATATGAAATATGGCATGAGGAAACAGGATTATCTCAGGCTACGTCCACACGAAGCCAGAGCTTTCCCTATCCGAACTTTTTTTTCCCCCTCGTCTCAAGAAATATCTGCATCCACATGAAACCACAAAACGATGTAGTATACATGCCAGACCAGTATGTGGCGCTGTAATTCTGCCACAGAGATACACTAAAAACGGAGAAGAAGACTTGGACTATGCTTATGCGAGCGGCATACAAACGAACATGGAACAATAAATTTATTAATCTGTGTCAATGTTAGTTAATAAAAAGACAATTGTTCAGTGTTTGTTCATGTTTTTGTTGCTGTTACGTGACGTAGCGGTGTCTGACTAGGGGCGAGACGTGGGCTGATGACGTCATCGTTTCAGAAAATATACGGATTCGCTGTCCACACGAAAACGCAAGGGCGGCGTTTTCAGATTTATCCACTCTGGGACCCGGTTTCAAAAAATATCGGTTTCACTCACCCAAAACGCCGGATCCGTGTGGACTAAACGCCTATACGATACAAAATGTATGCGTATACAGCTAAACGCGTCTCCGTGTGGACGGGGCCTCAGTCTTGTCTGAGTTTGAACCTGAAATATACTGCATTCTGTAATATACAACCATACCATACACTACCATTCAAATATTTGGGGTCGGTAATTTTTTGTGTTTTTGAAAGAAGTCTCTTATGCTCACTAAAGCTACATTTATTTGATCAAAAATACGGTAAAACAGTAATATTGTGAAATATCAGTATCATTTAAAATTGTTTCTATTTCAGTATATTTTTATTTTATAAATAATTTATAGCTGTGATTAAGGCTGCACGATAAATCGCATGCGATATTTAACGCGCATATTGTCAGAAAGCCGGTTCTGTAATCAGCGGTAAATCTCCATCACCTGCGTGCTTTTCCATTGGCAAAGCTGAATTTTCAGCAGCCATTTCTCCAGTCTTCAGTGTCACATGATCCTGTAGAAATCATTTAAATACGATGATTTGGTGCATTTCTAATTCTAAATGTTGAAAACAGTTGTGCAGCCTAATACATTTGTGTAAATAAAAATCATATCACCGTTATTGAAAAAAATTATATCGCGATACATATTGATATTGAATTATTGTCCAGCCCTAGTGTAAACTATATTACTGGTTTTTTTCAGGATTCTTTGATGAATAGAAAGTTGAAAAGAACAGCATTTATTCATAAATGTCTTTACTGTCACTTCTGATCAATTAGTTCCTTGTTAAATAAAATTAATTTCTTTATAAAAATGTAAGACTCCAAATTTTTGAAGAGTAGTATATCTGTCAATATGTTGCAATTGCTTTTCTAACAATACTACACTGAAGCAACTGCATTGCAATAAATTGTATCATGACAGATGTACCATAATGTTTATTGTACCTTGAAGTATTTGACGGCACCCAGCCTTAATTTGCATATCCTCATCTGATTGTATTACAAAGGTTTAAGCATCTGTTGCCTGCCATACTTGCTTCTGAGGAGGTTACATAATGGAAAATGTAGTATCACTTAGATGAATATGAATAATTTTCACAGTGGTACCACACATTACCGATGCTATACAGGAATGGGTCATGCGACAGGCGAAGGTCTCAGTGGACGATGACGGTATTGAACCAGAAGTGTGTGTCATTGAGGTATATCTGTCTGTTTTGTGCTGTACATTTTGAGGAAACATTTGATTTTTTTTCTATTAAGGACAGAGGAACAGCTTTTAAATGTAAAATAAATTTTGTATTCATGAATTGTGTTCAATAAAGACAAAAAATTTCATTTTAAGCTCAGTTACTGCTTAGGTTATGTAATATTAGGTTAAGAAATGCTGGATTATATATATACATATATATACATATACATTATAATAAAATTAAAATAAAATTCAATTACAATTTTTTTCCCCACACAGCTTGGAGGTACAGTCGGAGATATTGAGAGTATGCCTTTCATTGAAGCTTTTAGACAGTTTCAGTTTAAAGTGAAACGGGAGAATTTTTGTAACATCCATGTCAGTCTTGTACCTCAGGTAAGAGTTTTTTTTTTACTAATAAACATTTGTAGTTGAAAAGTGATTAAAAAAACTCCTATGGTCTTTGGATGTATTTTTAGCCCAATTCAACAGGAGAACAGAAGACCAAACCCACACAGAACAGTGTTCGGGAGCTTCGTGGACTTGGCCTGTCACCTGATCTCGTCAGTCTTTACTCTCTATTATATGCTATAATATGCTATATATATAGCCAATGCAAGTAAAGTCACTCCAATTCTGAGAATGCATCATTTTTGTTTGCAGATTGTTTGTCGTTGCTCCACTCCATTGGACACTGCCGTGAAAGAGAAGATCTCCATGTTTTGCCATGTAGAACCTGAACAGGTGATCTGCATACATGACGTGTCCTCCATCTACAGAGTACCTCTACTCCTGGAGGATCAGGGCATTGTTGACTACTTCTGCCGCAGGCTGGACTTGCCCATTGAGATGAGACCTCGCAAAATGCTCACAAAATGGAAGGAGATATCAGACCGGTTTGTACTGTTTGGATTCGCCTAACCGTCTCAAAAAAATGTGATTCTTCCCAGAAATCCCAAGTTTGATACAGCTGTTTTAAGCAGTCTGTCCTTGTTTCATAGATCTGACCGACTCCTGGAGCAAACCTCCATTGCTTTAGTAGGCAAGTACACCAAGCTTTCAGATTCGTATGCCTCTGTTATAAAAGCACTGGAGCACTCTGCCCTCGCCATCAACTATAAGCTAGAGGTCAAGGTAAGGAATGCCAGAGGAACTAGTAGCAATGTCCTGTGCTTTTATGATGAAGTTGATAGTTTTGCCCCATCTGAGAGTGCCTTTTTAAATCAAATTGTATTTTTGCATACTTCACAATATTACTGTTTTTTTATACTGTATTTTTGATCAAAGAAATGCAACTTGGTGACCATAAGAGACTTCTTTCAAAAACATTAAAAAATCTAACCTACCCCAAATTGTTAAACTGTAATGTTTTTTCAAGTGTGTAAGCGTGATAGTATAAAATGATACTTCGTTTCAGTACATCGATTCGGCAGACCTAGAGCCAGCAGCGTTGCAGGAGGAGCCGGTGAAGTACCATGAGGCCTGGCAGAAGCTCTGCAGTGCTGAGTGAGTGTACCATCAAAAACACTAGAAATTTACATAAACTCTGTTTTGTCCATCAACAGAGAACATTGAAATGATAAATTTTAATCTGCTGGTGTCATATCAGCTCTGTGGATTCTTGGATAATGTTAACCAATATCCAGATAGCTATTTAGGCTTTATATTAGCAAACTTCAGTTTGTTCTGGCATATAATGGCCTACTTTTTCACAGTGTAAACAGTACTCAATGGTTAAAATCAGGTCCTGCTTTCACTGTTTTTCTCATGACAAAGACTGCATTGTGGTTTCCAAAAAATAACCATACATTATGGATGTAAAATAGCTTACGAACTACCATTGACTTTGAATTAGTGCTGTCAAACGATTAATCGCATCCAAAATAAAAGTTTTTGTTTGCATAATATATGTGTGTACTGTGTATATTTATTATGTGTATATATAAATACACACACATGCATGTATATATAAAAAAAAAAACGTTACATTTATATATTAAATATATTTATATATATTATAAATTATATGAATGTAAATATATACATGTAAATATTTTCAAAATATATAATGTATGTGTGTGTATTTATATATACACATAATAAATATACACAGTACACACATATATTATGTAAACACAAACTTTTATTTTGGATGTGATCGCTTGACAGCACTACTTTGAATATTTCACTTTGAATATTTATTCATCGAATGTTCATTTGAATGTTTGCTTGACTGTTAGTGGGGTACTTGTTCCTGGAGGCTTTGGTGTGCGAGGCACTGAGGGAAAAATCCAAGCTATTAACTGGGCGAGGAGACAGAAAAAGCCATTTTTAGGTAACAAAAAACTGGCAGTGCAATGTTAGTAGCAAAATATGATGTAAACACTAGTTACTTTGACAGCATGCCTGTGGTTATCCCAATCTCGTTTGGCAGGTGTTTGTTTGGGCATGCAGCTGGCAGTGTGTGAATTTGCTCGTAATGTACTTGGCTGGGAAGGTAAGAACACCCATACGAGATTTTATGATATGTCTTTTAAATCAAACTTTGCACATGCTTTTAAAGTGTTTTTATTTGAACTGCTTTCCTCTTAACAGATGCCAATTCTACAGAATTTGACCCTGAAACAAAACATCCAGTGGTAGGTAATGGTGTGGTAAAACAAATGAGCAAATCTGCATAATGGTTCTTTTTCTTTTGGTGTGAAGAGACTTTTTTCTGCTATCAGGTGATTGAAATGCCTGAGCACAATCCGGGGCAGATGGGAGGAACCATGCGGTTGGGGAAAAGGCGCACCTTATTCAAAAGCACCTCCAGCTTTCTTCGTAAGTTATGATTTTTTTTGTCACACAGTGAACTGTGAAAGTCGCTCATCACAAAATTAGAAACTGATACTGTATTTAAAGGTTTTAAATTTGCATAATATTTTAATTGTTTTGTTGTAGGAAAGCTGTATGGAGATGCTGAATATGTGGACGAAAGGCATCGACATCGCTTTGAGGTTCGGTTAATATTTACAAAATTACTTTTTAAACGATTTCTTTCTGTTTGTTTAATTAGTTTCTTTTGTGTTTTTTTTAGGTGAATCCAGAATTGAAGCAGCACTTCGAGGATAGAGGTTTTCGATTTGTGGGTCAGGACATGGAGGGGGAGCGAATGGAGATCATTGAACTTGAAGGTCAGTGAATCTCCAGTATCTAAACCTGTCTGGAGAGGTGGTCAGTATGTGCTTCAGCTTGTTTCTTCTGTCACGACAGATCACCCTTATTTTGTCGGAGTGCAGTACCACCCAGAATTCACTTCTCGCCCCATCAAACCCTCACCTCCTTATTTTGGCCTTCTACTGGCAGCATCTGGGAAACTACAGAACTACTTACAAAAAGGCTGCCGGCTCTCACCTCGGTAATTTGCCTAATTAACTCTCTTAGATGAGCTTAACTATTGAAAATTGCTTCAAGCAGTATGTCTTACCTTGTTTTCTTCTCTCTCAGGGACACATACAGTGACCGAAGTGGCAGTAGTTCACCAGACTCAGAGATATCTGAAATCAAATTCCCATCACTTTCTTAAAGTGGAAATACACATATAATCATGAAATCAAAACTTTCATGACATGAATTTATTGTTTGAATAAATGAATAAAAAAGTTAATGTGTCCTTTTTAAGCAAAATATAGTGTATGCATACTGTTCTGTCAACAGTGATATACTTCAAAAAAAAATTATAATATGGGGCAAGACGAGAAGAAGCATTACACCGTTTTAAAAGTATATTCATATGAAATAAAAATGAGATTAGTGTGATAATATCGCTTACTGATCTGGTCTGTGCAAACATTTTTCAGATCCTGGTTTGACGGTGTAAATCCTTTCACTTTCACATGTCAGAAAAAGTCTACATAGAGAAAACTAGATAATATTTACACCCCTTAAACTAATCTCACATCTAGATAGCATTTAGACAGTTTACATCTAAAAAAAAAAAACTTTTGACTGAGAGAAGAATGGAAATTATTGTGCCCCATATAACGTAACGTATTAAACTAAAAACATTCTTTTATTACAAAACGCTAATTTAAAATAGACAACTAGGCTTTCATTTTGTAAAACCCATTTTCTGAGATCTCGCGATAATTCAGCAGAGCTCCGTTCGCCAGGAGGCGCCTGTAGAAGGAATAACAAGATCAACTTAAATTGGCTTTTGAATATTTCCAGCTCATAAACGTCGAAGATGGGTAGATAATACAGAATTATTTGGATCAGGTACTACACTAATTCACCATCTAACATGATTATATAAAACAAAAGGAAAGCATCACGAGATGTGGACTGGCACAAATGTTTACTTGCTAGCTGCTAATATGCTAAGCTGAAGTTGATCTGGTGAAGAATTATAGCAACCACAAAAACATTCAAACGAAAAGATGATTTAATTGTTTGCATTATTACATTTTTTATTATCAGTATTACATCCGCATTTGCCCAAGTAGTTCAAGTAGATAATCTCAGAAAACATCAGTGAAGCTAAAAAGCTAAAGTCGTTAGCCTGTAGAGCAGATGACAGTTCTGTGATGTTTTTCCTACTGGGCTCTGTGCTAGAGTGACTCTAGAAGTTCTTTTTTGGGGTACTTAAAAACAGTGTATTTAAGGGTGTATTCACACCTGTCTTGTTTGGTTCGATTGAATCGAACTCAAGTTCGTTTCCCCTCTTGGTGCGGACCTTTTTTGGCAGGTGTCAAAGCAATCGCACCGAGACCCAGCTGAAGAGGTGGTCTCGGTCTGCTTCCAAACGAACTCTGGTACGGTTCGTTTTAGGTGTGAAAATATGACCCGACCCAATTGCAGAAATCACGCTCAGAAACAGACAGCTCGCGCATATAGTGCTGTTATTTGCGTTTCAATGTCGTAAATCACTTGTTTTTAAACCACAATGCTTAAAAACACACGCAAATGATGAGTTTGCACCGCAACCTGACGTGAGCGCGCTATAGGTTAAAGCTTGCCGCAAAAATGACCATGACTATGTTGGGGGAAAATAGTAAGGAGATATTTGAATTATTTACTAATAAACTAGTGTTTTATGAGTCAGTGTCGCAATGAAGTTGATGATCCTGACTCGCCATCTCATCATTGGACGCGCCTTTAGAAAGAAATTCATCTTTACGGATTACATAATAATAAGAGTAAGTTATTTGTTTTGGATTTGAATTATTTCGTTTTGTAGTCATTTTAAGTTTTCTATAGATATATTCATCATGTCTGTAAGGAAAATATTTGCCGAGTTTCGGTTCATTTTTGTGAAGCGCTCCCGAGATGGCAAGCGCATCCTATTTGTTTTCTTTATTTTACAATAGCACAACGTTTTCTTGATATTGTGAGTGCACACAAATAAAAATAGTCCCTTTACAGTTCCGAACGATGTATTATTCTTACCTTTATAAGTAAAAATGACGGCGTATTTCATTTGTTTTCACCGATGTCCTGAAGCGCGCTTCAGCTTCCATTCTCCGCATGGATATGCGCCTAATAGCGCATATTTATATAGGTTAAATGTTTAAACTAACATTGTGATATGCTTTAAGTATTATATATATAAATATATATATTTATATACAGTGTTGGGGGTAACGCATTACAAGTAACGCGAGTTACGTAATCAGATTACCTTTTTCAAGTAACTAGTAAAGTAACGCATTACTTTTTTAATTTACAAGAAAATATTAGTTACTTTTTCAAAAAAGTAATGCCAGTTCAGATTACTTTTTTCAAGTAACCAGTAAAGTAACGCATTACTTTTTAATTTACAAGAAAATATCTGAGTTACTTTTTCAAAAAAGTAACGCCAGTTACTTTGTTTTCCCATTTATTGACTGACAAGTTTCCTGTCCCCATATTGGGAGAAATCAGCAGTGCAGAGGAGTTGTGTGCGCGGTGTGAACGTGATGTTACTGTAGTTCTAGACTAAATGTGAATGTGCATTAATTAATCCCACTCACAAAAAACAGATTTAGTATTCGTCAAAATGAATTAAAACAGTGAAATGCAAACTCAGAATATGATATATATATATATAGAGAGAGATTTTATTTTCAGCAAGTCATAATTACAACATCGTATGACATTGTCTCATATGATGCTCATAAGTTTCTTCACTTTGCGTTAGTGTCTAACACCAAATCAGTAAAAGAATAAAAATTGCACTACGAAAGATCTCCATGATTAGCCTGTTTTTGCACTTCCTGTTTTTCTTGAGAATTTCTGTCCAATGAATGGATGAACTTAGCACGCGTGTGGTTTTGTTTACTATTTCTGGTCCACTTGCAAAAAAGGGCAGTGTGAAAGCGAACCGCACCAAACTAAAAAAATCAACATTGTATTTGGTCCGGACCAAAGCAAGTGAACTAGCGGACTTTCCTGGTGTGAATACACCCTAAGCTCAAAGTATTTAATATGTCTTAATACCTTTTTTTGCAGCTGAACAGACCGCACTCTGGCTTTGAAGAGGCTCCTGACAGATAACTCTTGACTAGCATAGTATGACCCAGTACCCACCACAGACTAGTCGCTCTAACTTCTTAACTGTTGTGAAAGCAGAAGCCTCTTCAACACCACCCATCTCCACCAACATGGCCAACAGCACAGTCGCCCCCGGGAAAGTTCCAGGCACCCCTGGACCTGCAGGGAGACTGAGCCCTGAAGGCACTCAGGTGAGACCCCAAGCAGTTCAAATGTTTTAGACTTTGCCTCAATTTGTATTCCACATAACATTTATGATCTAATATCCTCCAAACAGGTGCTTAGTAAGAAGAAACTGCAGGATCTTGTGAGAGAAATTGACCCTAATGAGCAACTCGATGAAGATGTGGAGGAGGTAGGTATTACTCTTGTTGTTAGTGATGCACACAAGTATGTATTTTCATAAATGACAAGTCTGTGGGTTGCCTAAATAACTATTCAGTCTTAATGAAGGAATTTATAGTAATAGTTGTATTTTAAAATAAGAAACATCCCCTTACATCCACATTAAAATGTGAATAATATGTGAAAAAATGTGTAAATTAGTCAGTTGATATTGTTCCCTAGTTATCCATTTTTGTCAGCTCAGTGCTTATAACATTATTTTATATTATTATTATTTTATTCAGCAAGGATGCATTAATTTGGTCAAAAGTAACAGCAAAGACATTTGACAAGACTGTGGGTTACCTAAATGACTCAATCTTTAGGAAGCGAATTATAATAAAAAACAGTATTTCAAAATAAGAAGCATCCCTTTACATCCACTGCTAAAATAAAAGTGTGAAAACCAAAAAAAAAAAAAATCTAATAAACTAGTCAGTAGATTATTTATATGGTTCCCTAGTTATCCATTTTGAATATTAAAATTCAAACATTATTACATATATTTATAATTTTAATACTTTTATTCAGCAATGATGCATTGGGTCAAAAAAATCCTGTTTCCAGTAAATACTGTTCTTTTGAACGTTCTGTTCTTTGAAGAATCTTAAAAATGTGTATCATGGTTACCACAAAAATAGCAAGCTAAACATATGTTTATAACATTGATAATGAATGTTTCTTCATTCTTCTTCAGCAATCAGCATATTAGAAATATTTCTAAACCTTTGTCGTGACAGGAATAAATTGCCTTATAAAATGTATTAAAACAGAAAAGAGTTCTTTTAAATAATTTCACAATATTACTATTTTTACTCTATCAAATAAATGCAGCCTTGGGTGAGTAAAAGAGATTTCTTCCAAAAATAGTAAAAATCTTACCAACCCCAAGTAGTGTCACTATGCTGCTGTCTGTTGATCGGAGTCATTTCCCTTTCCCTTCAGATGCTCTTGCAGATTGCCGATGACTTCATTGAGAGCGTGGTGACAGCGGCGTGCCAACTTGCCCGACACAGGAAGTCAAACACTCTTGAAGTGAAAGATGTCCAGCTACACCTGGGTGAGGCTCTTGCATAGACAGTTCCAAGTGGTTTGAGTGCCTTTTTATGAATTTAAATAAATACACATTTTTTTTATGCTGCTTACATTGAACTTTGTTTTTACATTTTGTTTTATTACCATTCTAAAGAATAATATAAGGTAATATAGTCCCTAATCCAATATTGCATCACAGAACGACAGTGGAACATGTGGATTCCTGGTTTTGGTTCAGATGAGATCCGACCGTATAAGAAGGCTTGCACCACAGAAGCTCACAAACAGGTCAGCTATCGTTCTTATGCACTTGAACTGATATGATGAAAAACACATATGACTTGCATACCTAAATATCTTTTTCTGTTCTTTCAGAGAATGGCATTGATCCGCAAAACAACCAAAAAGTAGCAAGATCGGAAGCACCAATAAACATTTTTTTTTCTGCAGGTTTTGGAAGTGGAGAGGGATTGAACCTATATATATATATGTTATGTTAATCAGAGAGGCAGAATGCGAGTTCTGTTGACTTCGCATTCAAAAGGTGCATAGGAAGTGACCTAAATTGTCTGTACAGTTCACTTTGTGTTAAAACCACCATGTGAACATTTTATTTTGGCACCTTGGTCTCTGACTCGGTGCTGTACGGGGCTTTATTATATTATAGAATCTCACGGATTTCTGTGAAAAACATCAGTTGTTTATTGTTTCTCCCACAAACCGCATTTTCATTCATATTTCGTGTATAGCTGACCTGCCATGCAGTCACACAACGTGTGCTCAGCTGGCATTAATAGCTATGCACAATTACAATCACCATGTATCTGATTTTGTTCATAGTGTTTGGTGTTATAGACTTTATCACTTAAGTAATATTTAGTACAATAGAGGACATCTTTAGTGTGTGACTTTCTAAAGGTAAACAGTCATTTTTACCAGAGAAATAAATACCACTTCCCCATTTAATTCATTGCATTGGAACTAGTGACATAATGCAGAATGGTTAATTGATTAGTGGTGAAAAATTTAAGGGGGTCTGAATACTTTCCGTACCCACTGTATATGTGTGATATATGGGAAATGGTGCATAAACCCTTTCTGCTGTGGATTTGTGGGCAGATTTGAACATTTCTGTGGAGTTGAACTGAGTATAAACTGTTTTTTGCCATGTATCACAGTGTTGTACAGTCTCTTGTTTTTCATGAATAAAAAACAACTAATTGTAATTTATTCAGACTGAACTCACTCAGATTTTGTGGGACATCATTTCAGAAATTACAACTAACATAAACTGTTTCAGCAATGCATCCATGTATGTATATATTAGTGAATAGTTTAACTCTTAAATACCTCCAGAATGTCTGTATCAGCAAAAATACATCCATGCTTATGGAAATACATGGCCTTTATAATATGACATAATATGATGAATAGCAGGTAAAATCTTTAACTGATGCAGTAACACTGTTGCCACACTAATAAAGACACCTTTATACAATGTTGATCCCAGAAATACGAACAAACAATTGGAAATTAAATGTACATATGCTTGTATATATGACGTTAATCATGAGTTTCAGTGTGGTTCGCAAATGCTGATATCTTGCAGATAAGCACAAATTCTAATACACTAGTCAACATTTAAAGCGGATCAAAACCTTTAATCAAAGTTGTCCTAAAACCTAAAAGCATTCTCGTCTTAAGACAGTTTTGATTAACTTTTTTGATCCACTTCAAATGTTGACTACTGTTTATACCTACAATCTGAAAGACCTTTACATTTGCTTTTATGTGTATTTGGCAATGTCAGACACATCCATCCTATTTGAAGATCTACACAAAATTTGCGAGAACCACTTATTGTAAGTTAACAAGCACAGCTCTTGTTTTTCTCAGCGGCATCATTGTTTTGTATCTTCTGGAGTGTTTGGGCTCTAGGTGCTGAGCTCTTGACTCCATCCCACCCCTCATGCAACTGGATCTCTCCACTTTTTATGCCCTGATAAACCCTCCGGGTCAAGAGTTCAAAGGCCTCTTTCACATTGTGACCTGTTTTTGATGAGGCCTCGATGTACGGCGCTCCCAACTGGCTTGCAAGCTTTTCTGCCTCAGTTCGGTCCACGGCTCGCTCTCCAGCTTGGACCCGGTCACTTTTGTGTCCCACCAGCACAAAGAGCACAGTGTAGGGTTGCACACGGTCACACACTTCTGCATACCACTGCTGCACGTTTTCAAAAGATTTACGGTTGCCCAGATCGAACACCAGAAGACCTCCGACTGAGTTACGGTAGTAGGAGCGAGTCACGGACCTGCAAATGTACCATAGTTTTAGGGTTATTTTTTCCAGACCTCTGCACCCCTGCTTTAGATGATTAAAATGTTCTTCACACCTAGAAAGCAGTTCTTTTAAGAACTGCTCACTGAAAGGTCCATTGGGGAACCCAATCGATTCTATAGATTTTATGCTGGAAAAACACTTTTTTGGAACCTTTATTTGCAAGAGTGTAGTAATACGAGTAAACCACTGTTTTAGCAATGTTCAAATAAATAATGTATTTTAATTGCCCCCTTCACCTTGTCACAAGGCTTGCCACCCATGAGACTTTGGAATGACATGAGGTTGAGTAAATGATGACCATTTTCCTTTTTGGGTGATCTGCCTGTTTGAAGTCATCAATGCATACCAGAAAACAGGCCCAAATCCAGCTCTAAGAAGATGTGGAGCCCGGCCTGGCAGTGAATCCATTTTTAGTGTAGACTGACATAATACTTCCTGAAAGTATCATGAGAATACTTGTTGCTGTGAGGAGTAATATGTTTCACAATCCTTTTTTACACAAGCAAGGCAACTTCTTTAAACTGTTTTTAGACACTGAACTTATGACTAAATGTACAGAAGTTACTGTGAGGGAAAAAATAGTCCTGTGTGAATTATTCAGCTTAAGCAGGGATGTCCAAAACTGCTACTGGATGGCCACTGTCTTGCAGAGTTTAGCTTCAACCACAAATAAACACACATGAACCGGCTAATCAAGGTCTTCAGGATTACTAGAAACTGACAGGTGTGTTGGGGCAAGTTTGAGCTAAACTCTGCAGGTCATTGGCACCCTTGACCTTAAGTGCATGATCTGGAGAATAGTTTGTTCAATTCATGGTAGAACTTTTAAAAATTGGGACTTACCTAAACCTCTCTTGACCAGCTGTATCCCAGAACTGCAGTTTGACCCTCACCCCAGGTTCCACCTCTAGGAAGTGTACATAGAAGTCCACTCCGACTGTTTGGTTGATGCACTCCAGAAACAGATCCTCAGTGTAGCGCTTCAACATGGATGATTTGCCCACGGTGGAGTCTCCTAGCATGATGATTCGAAACTGGTACTGCCACAAAGTGAGGTCCATGACTTGAACCAGATGAAAGCAGCGAATGAAAAGGCTAGGGTTGACTAAGGACTGTCACTCCACCAGGATCCTCAGAAAATCTCTTACCTTAGAGGTCTTGAAGTTCTCATTGTAAACATAGGTAAAAAATAAACCCAGAGTTCCTCAGCTTCTCCTGTGTTTTTCTGCATAGAGCAGAGTCTGTTTGATCGTCGTAGGGGTGGGAGCTTCTGTCTAGCTCATCTGTTTCTTTAATCTTTGCCTGTTCATACTTGTTATTGGGCGGGGTTTATGTGAGAGGCGGAGTTTATAAATACCAGCAGAAAGTTGGGAATTTCTCATAGACCAGAGGGAATGAGCATGCAGTATCATATCAGAACAAGCCCAGCATTTCCTGTTCAGGCCAGCTCATGGCATGCATCACATAAAAGCACATGTAATGAGGAAAAACATTTCAGCTAGGTCTTTCTCAATAGGCCAGCCATGAGAATGCTTCCACCCAGGTCATAACCGCTGAAGATGGCTGGAAGACTTCCAATGTCATGATGAAATCAAGTCTACTATATTCCTCACCAGTGTGCATTACAGGTTAGTTTGCTACAGAACGTTTCCACAATTATGTGGCTTTCCAAACAGGAGGTGAACAACAATGGAACAGACTCCCTTAGGACACAAAGACAATTTAGGCCGGTGTTCTAACGATTTGTGCTACCTCCCATTAAAAAGATAGGTAGTACAAATCGATAGCGAAAAATGCTATCTGTCAGATTGTGCTACCAGCATCTTATTCATGAGGTTTGAGGCTTTTTTAAATGTCCATACCTACCCCTACCCTAAACCTACCCGTCCACACCTACACTTACCCTAAACTTACCCTTAAAACAATGTAAATATATTTTTTGTAGCACAATCTGATAGGTAGCATGTTTCATCGGTACACCGGCTTGGGCTATAAATAGAGTGTTTCACTTTGTTTTCAGATACTTTAGATTAGTGGACTAGCCTACTTTGTAAATCCAGTGAACAATTAATTGTAATACTATCAACAGCGTGTTACTGCTATTAGTGTTTGCGTATATGGAAGCATAACAAGTGACAAGCCTATGAACGCTGTTCAGACACTTATAATGAAAGTAATTCATACCAGAACAGCAAGGGTGGGGATCCACTGAAGCGGAATAGCTGTCCATTGTTTACTGACAGAAAAGGAAAGCAGACGTTTAAAGAGCACTCGCAATATTACTATGGTAGTCTTGAGTAGAATTACCATTAAAACGTGAACATTTTTCTCACGACTCCTAACAGCTTGCTTTAAATGTCTAATAATATGTAAGCTATGCATTTTTTGTTGCATTTCCTTCTTTAAACCAGCTTGTAATGACATGCATTTTTCTCGATGGCCACTAGGAGACGTTGCCTACAATCTTTTCCATAACGCAACCAGCTATAATGACTAGGATCTGCTGGCTTTTTGTATTTTCTGCTCTTATTTTGATAAAAATATCTGTGCTGTGTATTTAAACTTGGTAAAAGCGGAGTACTACAACATTCATTATAGTAACTAGAAGCTAAATTAAATGAGTTAAATATTTAATAAACAAAAATGTATAACAAACAACCAAAAATAATGAATAAAAAATGAATAAATATGAATGTATGAAAAATACATGGCTACTTTTGAATGGCCAAAGATGAAGGGAAAAAAAACAGTTTCACATTGACTTTATAAGACACAACATTTGTTGTTTTCAGCTGGCTCATTTTTATTGGTCTTATTTTCAGCTGGCTTGTCTTTGTGAATCTTGCCCCATCTTTCATGCAAGCTTACCTCTCCACTCAGATAGCCCTGATAAATGCGTCGGGTCAACAGCTCAAAAGCGTCTGCCACATTGTGACCCGTTCTAGCCGAGGCCTCGATGTATGGCGCTCCCAATGCACTTGCGCACTGTTCCACCTCCTCTTGATTCACTTCTCGCTCTTTTCTGTCACACTTGTGTCCTGCAAGCACGAAGAGCACAGTGTACGGATGGACAATCTTGCTCACCTCTGTGTGCCGATGTTTAATGTAAGTAAAGGTCTTGTAATTGCCCAGGTCAAACACCAGCAGGCATCCAGCTGACTGAGGGAAGCAATGGCAAAGAGTTTTCCTGAAATCGTGAGAGATCATGAAGTTAAACAACCAATCACACTGTGCATGGTGTATAACCCTGATCAATGAAAAAGCAAAATAGAAAAAAGGCGCTCAACCAAATAAAAAAAAAGTTTCAATTCAATTCAAGTTTATTTGTACAGCGCTTTTCATGATACAAATCGTTGCAAAGCAACTTTAGAGAAAATTGAGTTTCTATAATATATTTAGTAGTAGCTTATCAGTGGTGACTCAGTTAATCAATTAAATCAATTAAAGACGTAATCAAACAGATGATGAACACTATTAACAACAATTATTATATGATGCAATCAAACTTATAGCAAAATGTGGTAGTTCTGTATGTTGTTTCAGGGTTGGCATCATCTGAGGTCCTCTGAGGGGTTGGCATCATCTCTTCTCAGGTGTTCTGGATCCAGACTGTGGCAAAAACAGAGAAACAAATAGAGACATAATTAGCGTAGCTGCTGTTCCAAAATGTAAAAAAAAAGTGTTTCAAAATGTAAATCACTCAATACTAACTTCTTGTTTGTTGAATTGTTTTTTAGGCTACAAAATCAGTGTCACATGTAAGATCTCGTTTTGCTTGTGTGATATTACTTAACTAGGCCTATAGCCTATCATATCTTATAAATCTAAAAAACAAAAATCTGTACAGGCATATTTTTGCTTTCATAGATGTAATTATAGAGGCATTCTAACTGCAATAAGTTTTATCACAGTGAATTTTTTTTTCTTTGTTTTTTTTTTATACTTTTGTATTAAAACATGGCATTTTTGTAGCACAACTTTTCAAAAATTTCTGTTGTGCCTCGTGGAGTAAGGGTCACCTTTCCTTTCTTTAAAATATGAAAATACGTATATAATGTTTGGTATTACCTTCGTGTTAGTACTACAGGCAATTTTAGATACTTCACAACATCTGCATGCTTTACACTGGCGTATATATGCATTCTCACTAAGACGATTCATGACCGGCTGTATCCACAATGTGTAGTCCTACTCTCACCCCAGGCTCCACCTCTAGGATTTGATTGCATGAACTCAATGGTAACAAGTACGTGTTTTGTCTGTCCGTATATGTATCGACACAGCATGCTTGATTTGCCCACGCTATCGTCACCTATCATGATGATTTTAAAACGATACAGGCACTCAGAACCATTCATGACAGCTGACACTGTTCCAGGATCCTTAAAGATCTGACCAGAGAAACTGTGAGAACCTAACACATTATAACTTTTATTCAGATTGTTACATTTCAATAGCAATAGGCAATAGACAATTCAAGTTTTAAATTTCTAAGGCCTGTACCTGTTTGTTTCTGAAATTTTTCCTGTTTGATTGTTGTAGGTCAGACCTTCCAGTGCTGATTCGATATTTGTAATCTTTTCCTGTTCAGTAAGGTGTGTAACAGGATCATATAATGCGTAAGTTAGCAGTATTTATGTGACAGGCGGGGTCTGAGAAAAAGGAGTATTTCTAATTCACGTGGTATAAAAACATGAAAAATGCTTTTGAATACTTTAGTGGTTTTAAATCACAGACACAAATCCTCTTGGAGTACATTCAGATTAGTTACAGATATAACTATAACTATATTACATCTTTAAAGATAGGCAAAGTGCATAAATCTTCAGGTTTGAAACTGTTCAGCTGTACTTCATTTCTGAATAGTGAGGTTATCCTGTTTGAAAGCTGTGTTGTCGCCTGGATTTGCTTTTTAAAATCCTTTTCTGTTTATAGGTTCATATTGCAGGCAAATGTGAGGTATTTATGTGACAGGCAGGGTTCATACACAATTTCTCAAAAACCTTTGAACTGAGAGAGCTGGTAGAAGTTCAGTGTCATGATAACAGTGTATTTATTGAATTATTTACTCTGTGTGTGTGTTTCTGTGTGTGCGTGCACGTGGCCTATAAGTTTACAGACATTTCCTTAAAACCTAAAACGCAACACAATTCATTGCATAATCCAAAATATGGGTAAAACACCAAATTCATTCATATTAACATTCTACGTTGGGACATATTTTTAAGGACCTTTCTTATAAAATTGAGAAATTACTGCTTTCTAAAGACCTACAGTTTTTTTTAAGTGTTAGATACAGAAGGATAAAAAAAGTTATTAAAGGCTGTACAGATATTTGACAACAGGGTTCACTAAGACATTTTCTACATTGTCCTTCATATTATTATAGAATGTTTCACTTTGTTTGCAGATGCTTTATAACTCCAGTATGTGTTTAATTGTAGTATCCTCACTGTTTTATTGCTTTATCAGATTTTATAGATACAAAAGTATAAAAAGTAAATGATAGGCCTTTGTACACTTCACATCAGACACTTGGCATGGATGTAATTCATATCAGGTCAGCAAAGGTGAGGATACAAAGAAGTGAGGAAAAAGTCCATTATTCATTACAGAGAAGGGAGAAGTTGAAACCACACTTGCAATTTATTTAGTATTATTGTGTTAGTCAAACAGACTTAAACGTACTAAAAGGCATTTTAGCATTTCCTTCACTAAACTCGATATGCATTTTTTTTTAGGTCTTTTGAGAAAACTGGTTAAGTGTATTCAAACATGGTATATGCTGAGCATACTACATTCATCATAGTAGCTGAAGCTTAATAAAAGCTATATATATATATATATATACTGTGTATATATACAACGCATTATTGTGCCATCTCAAAGAGGCACAAAATCACTTTCACAGACTTTTTCATTAACTGTTCCCTCCTGGTGGAATGACCTACCCAACTCAATCCGAGCAGCTGAGTCCTTAGCCATCTTCAAGAAACGACTATAAACACATCTGTTCCATCTTTATTTGACCCTCTAACTCTAACGTTCTATTCTGTTTTAATTCTACTTGATCTATTTATCTTCTTTTTTTATTTAAAAAAAACTAACACTAGATTTCTATTTTTTCTATTCTACTTGTTTTTCTTTGTGTGTGTGTGTGTATATATATATATATATATGTATATATATAAATACCTTGCTTCGTGTGCTGCGTTAGACTAACCGAGACTTGTCATTTGCACTTACATATTGTTGCTCTTTTGTTACAAGCCACTTGTGTGTTCTTCTGTGCCACCTCTGTAGTACAAATTAATTTATTAAAAAGAAAATACTCCTGTAAGTCACTTTAAGGAGTCAAATGTCACCTCGTATTAGGAAGGCTAATTTTTGATCAGACTTTTTGATTATTGATCAGAAGGTGCTCCTAAATGTTTAAATTAGGAGGACCAGCGCTCCTAATTACAAGAGGAAAAAAACTGCTCTTAAACTGGGTGTGTGACAGGTATGGCTGAGGAATTGGGTTTGGTCGAATTTTCAGTCAAAATATTTGTTTTGCTTTAACCCCTGCAATATACTAAATCAGCAGGTGGCGGCAAGTCACTGATTTTATCACTGAATCATTCATTCAATTGATTCTTTCGAACGGCTGATTCATTCAGGAATGAAGCAAGTCACTGTCTTTATGAACTGACGGAAATAACGGAAATTTAATCCCTGCGTCTGCTGGTGTTGGTCCATTGTGTTTTATCAAGTGTAAAGTCAATGCAGCCATCTGCCAGGAGATTTTGGAGCACTTTATGCTTCCATCTGCTGACAAGCTTTATGGAGATGCTGATTTCCTTTTCCAGCAGGACTTTAACACCTGCCCACAGTGCCAAAACCACTTCCAAGTGATTTGCTGACCATGATATTACTGTGCTTGATTGGCCAGCCAACATGCCTGACCTGAACCCCATATGGAATCTATGGGATATTTTCAAGAGAAAGATGAGAAACAGTCGATCCAACAATACAGACGAGCTGAAGGCTCAATAGTGCCTCAGCAGTGCCACAAGCTGATCGCTTCCATGCCACACCTCACTGATGCTGTCATTTGTGCTTAAGGAGCTCCGACCAAGTATTGAGTGCATAAATGAACATGCTTTAAAGAACTTGAACTTTTCTGCTTTGCAAATCCTTTTTTTGATTGATCTAAGGAAATATTCTAATATTTTGAGATACTGGATTTTTGACTTTCATGAGCTGTAAGCTCTAATCATCAAAATTAAAACAAAATTTTTTTTTACTTTACATGTAATGAATCGAGAATATATGAAAGTTTCACTTTTTGAAATAAGTTACAAAATTATATTCTAATTTTTTTTAGATGCACCTGTATAATAAATACATATTATTAATTCCATAAACAAAACAAAGAAAACATGCTAATTAAGCAAGTATGCAAAGTAACCACAAAGTGCTTGAATGAAATCAACCTGTGAAATTAAGTATGGAAATGTCGTAAGTTTATTTCATAAGCATAAAAAAACTTTGTGATTTGATTTTTAAATCTCAACAGATATTAGTTACAAAATACTTATTAGTAATAAAACAAAATTCAAGTCCATTTAAAAGAAACATATCACTGGGACAACATCTACTTTAATATAATAAAATATTTGTGATAGTGCTGTCAAACGATTAATCGCATCCAAAATATAAGTTTTTGTTCACATAATATATGTGTGTGTACTGTGTATATTTATTATGTATACATAAATACAAACACATGCATGTATATATTTAAGAAAAATGTTATGTTTATATATTAAATATATTTATATATAATATAAATTATATGAATATAAATATATACATGTAAATACATGTAAATATTTTCTAAATATATACTGTATGTGTGTGCTTTTATATACATAATAAATATACAAAGTACACAAACATATATTATGTAAACAAAAAACGTTTATTTTGGATGCGATTAATCACGAATAATCGTTTGACAGTTTGTTGTTTGTCTTGCATATTTTTATTTTGTAAGAATACATGACTACTTTTGAATGGTCATCAGTGGAAAAAATGTCCTAATGCAGTCTCGTATCAACTTTATGAAACACAGCATTTGCTGTTTTCAACTGGCTCATCCTTGTTGGTCTTGTTTTCATGGATCTTGCCCCATCTTTCATGCAAGCTTACCTCTCCACTCAGATAGCCCTGATAAATGCGTCGGGTCAACAGCTCAAAAGCTTCTGCCACATTGTGACCCGTTCTAGCCGAGGCCTCGATGTATGGCGCTCCCAATGCACTTGCGCACTGTTCCACCTCCTCTTGATTCACTTCTCGCTCTTTTCTTTCACACTTGTGTCCCACAAGTACAAAAAGGACAGTGTATGGATTCACTCTATTACACACCTCTGTGTACTGACGCTCAATGACTCTGAAAGACTCACGATTGCCCAGGTCAAATACCAGCAGGCATCCAGCTGAATAAGGAATGTGAAGCTGGACAAGCTGATGCTTCCTGAAAACGTAAGTTCGTGAGGTTGAACAACCAGTGTGCATTGTTTTTTTTTTTTTTGAGAAATATGAAAGTAAAAAAACAAAAAATCCCTATGTTTAAAGGTGCTCAACCAATATATAAAATATGCTAATATATGTGACCCTGCACCACAAAACCAGTCATAAGTCACACAGGTATATTTTTAGCAATAGCCAACAATACATTGTATGGGTCAAAATTATTGATTTTTCTTTTATGCCAAAAATCATTAGGATATTAAGTAAAGATCATGTTCCATGAAGATATTTTGTAAATTTCCTACCATAAATATATCAAAACTTAATTTATGATTAGTAATATGCATTGCTAAGCACTTCATTTGGACAACTTTAAAGGTGATTTTCTCAATATTTAGAAATTTTTTTTTTTTTTTGCACCCTCAGATTCCAGATTTTCAAATAGTTGTATCTCGGCCAAATATTGTCCTATCCTAACAAACCATACATCAATGGAAAGCTTATTTATTCAGAATAACTAAATAAAAATCACCCTTATAACTGGTTTTGTGGTCCAGGGTCACATATGTATAAAATATGGCCCTTTTTAACTGAAACAACTGAATCACTCTCTTTCATTATATGGCATTTTGTCAGTTCATTCAAATTATTATTTTGGGCTTTAAAAGTACAGGTTAAAAGAATTTTGGCGAGCATGCAGATGATTTGTATTCTCACTGCTTACCAAAACGCTTCATTACCGGTTGTATCCCAAATCTGTAGCTGTACTCTCACACTCGGCTCCACCTCTAGGATGTGATTTCTGAAGTCCGCTCCCATGGTACAGTATATTTTCTCTGGAAACAAGCCATTTATGTATCGATACAGCATGCATGACTTGCCCACATTACCGTCACCTATCATGATGATTTTAAAACTGTACAGGCACTTCTTGAGAGCTGATATTGCTCCAGGATCCCTAAAGATTTGACCAGAGAACCTGTGAGAACCTATTGAATTATAATTGATATTCAGATGGCTACAATTCAGTTACATGCAGAGTTAAATACACAATTCTTTAAGTTTTACATTTAAGATCTGTACCTGTTGGTTTCCATAGAAAGACTTCCTATTTGAATGTGGTAGGAGTCGAACGATCCAGTGTTGATTCGATTTGTGTTGTCTTACAAGTTCATATAAAACAGAAGTGGGGTTATGTAACAGGGCGGGGTTTATTTAAAAAAAAAAAAAAAAAAGAAGTATTTCTCAAAAACCTCTGAAGATTGCACGTCTTTGTGTGTGTGTAGACAGAGATTTTTTTAATATGCTTTTAAATTAGATTTATAATACGCAAAACAACAGAGGGGTGTTGTATCAACACTTGAGATGTGGTATGAAAAATGTCACGAGTTTATTATATAACTATAAAAAATGTAAAATGTTTTTGAATACTAGTTGTTTCAAATCACAGACACAAATCTTCTTGGAGTATATTCTGATTAGATACAGATATAAAATACACCCACATTTATATTAAATAAAAAATATGCACGTACAGGTTCAGTGGTTATCTGAACAATGCAGCTGTCCTTATAAAAGCACTTCTCCTATATCCTACATTTTTGTAACCACCCAAATAATCATTTCCTGTTACATGCTGATCCCTGATGCTATCCAACACAGCATAACTCATTAGGTTACATTATAAACAGCAGTATAACAGCACAAACGTCACAAACTGGCTTCAGTAGGAGATGCCATGTTGGCTCAAAGTGGTTCATGGTAGGTATGCAATAGTGGTTCTACTGTCTGGGGCTCAAAGTAGATCACACTAGCCTTATGTTGGCTAGTACCATGTGAGACTGGAGTACAGTACCCGTTTGAGATCACTCTGTGTGCGGGGCAGTCATATTGTTGTTGGCTCAGCTCTGCTCTTGCAGCCTGTGTGGATCGACACACAGGTAGATTCTGTCGGCTGTCCAGTGTTGAGTCTGTGGACATTTCGCTGAAGGGTGTTGCATATTCTGGTTCGGGAGGCAGGGGGTGGGCGTATTCGGGAAGCTGTCCAGGGGTGTCGTAGTGGTTGAGGGAGAAGGGGACGGTGTAGCCCTCTTCCAGTGCGGGTCGGAATGTGTGTCCCATCATCTGCCCACCTGCTACTACATCAGGCTCAGCATAATCTGGGAACAATGGAGAAAAGTTATAGAAATATGAAAACTAATATAGGCATTCCCAACCTTTCTAGTGATCTGGATATGTACAACCTAAATAGTTTTAAGTGAATTTATTATATATACAAATGATTAAAACATTCAATGGTTAGTTTTTTTTTGTACACAGCCCTGCACATTGAGTATTTTTATTGTACACATTTTTTTTTGTATTAAACTGAATTGAGAATTTAAATTAAATTTCAAGTTAAGTCACCCAATTCTACAAGATAACAACTAACATACGAATAATGAACTATTACAAATAATTTCCAATTATCACTTTAATAACAAAACAAATAACATACCATTTTATTTAATTAAAATTTAATTATATTTATATAAATATGAATATAAATATGTCATTTATTTGAATATAAAGACAATGACAGCTAACATTTTTTTTATTAAAAATGTAATATTTTAAATGAAATGATATTAAAAAAAATATTAATCAAAATATAAACAAATAAAATAAAATATTATGAAATAAAAAAATTTCTGCAAACCCGATTAAGGAAAAATAACATTCATTGTAACAACATAACATTTTCTTTCATTACAAAATGTAATTAAATAGATTCAGAAATGTCTAACTTTTGTAAATTTAATGCTTACATATGTTTAAAAATATAATATTAAATAAAAAAATATTTGTTATTATTAATTAGTCTTTAAACGCCTCAATTATTGACCAATCAGATTCATGTTATAGTGAATAAACCCTCCCTTAGATTGGACTTCATCCCCAGAGAACTGTCTTTTGCCTTGGCCAACTCATATTAGGCATTATTGCATTCCCACATGATCCCACTGCTCACCCCCACTGCACTGTGTCCAACAGTAGTTCTGGGCTATAAAAGGGGCCCCACGTTTCCCCCTCTCTCCTTCTCTCAGTCCTTCACTCACTCAGCAGGAATGCTAAGACTAAGACTGAAGCAACTTTAGAAAGGACTCTGATTGTCCTGACCACTGACCCTCTGTCCTACTCGTCCCAGAACCCCTTACTGAAGGGTCTGTTGGCCAGTGGGTGGTGAGGAGGGTGTTCTTCTGGCTTGAATGCCCCTAATTTGGGCTCCAATTAAAGAAGCCTTTCAGGGAAGCACCGCCGACGAAAGAAAGACATGTTTATGCTGCCACTGAGCAACTGTTGGGGAGGAATGAGCTCAGAATGAAAGCCGTTTGCTTGTCATGTCTCTTCTGAGTTGCACTAGCAGCTCAGCTGAGCAAAAGCACACAGAGTGGGGCGAGCGAACAAAGGGGTCAGAATGACTACTTGGCTTTCTCTCTGTTTCCGTCCTGCTGTTTGAGCCACATTAACCCTCTTATTCACTGCTATATATTACTGCGATGTCTGAGGGCTGTTGATCTGATTCTGAGAACTGTTGTACCCAGCGGCGTCCTCTCGACAAACACTGCCTTGTCTCGTTTGTCGTTTCAAACATTCCTTCATGAATTTCGGTATTCATTGCTATACTGGGTTGAAAAGCCCTGTGGATGTCTTACCATTGTGAGGAGGGTTGGGAAGAGCATCGTGGATGTTCCGAACCAGAGGGTAAGATACAAGCTCTGGGTTTGTGCATGGAAGCTTCTTCCCGTGGAAACCCTGACAGCCTTAAGCAGAGACAATGAAAGTCAGTCAGGAAATACCAACAACACACGGAGGACACAGGAAAAACTGTACTAGAGAGACAGTGCAAAACGTTACCTTGGTCAACGCAGCATTTCTTTATTTGTGCGTTTCTTTTTCTGAAATACAAACATGGGCAAATATCGCGAATATGTCAAGAATATGTACAGGCCCCAAAATAAAAAGCGTGGAAAAAATACATTTAGATTTTCTATTTAATACATTTTTTTATTTTAAAAAGGAAAAACATATACTGTATAATAAAAATTCCAAATTAAAATAACGATTGTATGACGTTAAAATGAAATTAACCCAAATATTACATGGGGATATAACACTGATATTGTAATATTAATATTATATCATAAAAAAAATGATTATAAATTAAGGAAAATTATACAAAAGCATATGCCAAATTACTGAGTATAGCATTAATACAATAGTGCATAACAAATGATACAACATTTTTTTTTGCAAACCACAGGTTAAGGTAAAATAACATTTAATATAACATCTTGCAAAACATTTTCTTATAGAATAATTATGGAACAGAATCATACATTTCCAACTCGTGCATATTTTATGTTTTAGATATGTATCAAAAATATTACAATTCGCAGCATTTAAACACCTTGCCTGAATTATTTAACCAATCATATTTATGGTATAGTAAATAAACCCTCCCTTTGATTTTCCTTAATGAAAACATAGCTATTTTTAGGACCATTCAAATTGTTTGCTTTATTTGAGCCCAGTAAAATAGCTCAATTACTGTGATGTTGGAAAAATTAGAGACTAAAACTAGAAATATTCTGATTTTTTCTGGTTGCAGTGACAACCTGTAACAGTACTGTTTTTGGTTACATATCTCCACTTTTTGGTTTTAATAGAAATATAATAATAAATTGTCGGCACTGATAGCCTAGTGGGCAGTGTGCTGACATATAACACTGTTGCGTTGCGGGCGTCCCGAGTTCGAATCCCGGCTCGAGGACCTTAGCCAATCCCTCTCACTTTGCTTCTTGTCTACTCTACACTATCCTATCTTAATAAGGGCAAAATGCCAAAAATAAATCTTTAAATAAAAAATAAGAATAAATCAAGTAATTCTTTATAAGGAACAATTAGTGTGTTACCTTCTCCACCAAATAAGCCCAGCTAGAAGGCAACCCACACACAGAGCAGCTCCCAAAACCATGCCTGCCACTAATATCACTGCTTGGCTGGGGCCTGTATGGAAATCATAATAAAAGATTTAGCCTTTAGAAACAGATCCACTATGAGCAATCATATTAGTGGATTACCTTACAAAATTCACCTCACCTGAGCTTCTTGTGATGACAGGACCCTCAGTGGGCAGCGTGTCTAGAGGCACAGTCTCTGTGACAACTGCTTTCCCAGTATTCAATTCTGATGGAGAGAATTCATCGCAGGTTTAAAAGACAAGAATTCAATTAACTCTTACAAGATTTACCATAGTGCGCTTGGAATTTGACCAATACAATGGTCTTTTATCGTCAATATGTACTATAAAAATGTTTAAACTGAAATTTATGTGGCATAAGGGAACTTAAAAGAGATTCTGGGGCGGACCCTCACCATCTCCGTGGGAACGGGGTCTGAGGGGGGCAGAAGGGCAGCCCAGCACTTGAACCTGCGCAGAGGCCCTGATATGCCACTTCTGGGGTTTCACGAGGAGGTAGCGTGCAACTACTGAAGGAATCAGACTGTTGAGTACCGTCACATGACCATCAGAATGGGCCTCAAACACCTTAAAAAAAGAAAAAAAAAGTTAATGTGAAAATGAAACATACTGAAATTTTTTATCAAAAGGCAAAAAATGATTTAAAAAATCAGTTTTATTTTTAATAAAATAAGGATGATTTTTCAAATAATATGTATGAATCTGCTTTAATGCACTAATCAAAATGTCAATTGTCAAACATTTCCATTTTAATGATTCAAAAAGTATAATTTAACAATCTGCATCATTTGTATCAATTTAACAAAACAAAAAAAAAGGAGTGGCAAAAAATGTTCAAATACTCAATTTAATGTGAATGAACTTCACATAAACACGAGTTTTTTTTATTTTCTTCACAAAGTCTGTTTGGATGAATCCACTGTTTGGATGTAGTAAAACACCCACAAATGTAGCAGAAAACATCTGGGTCATGTTAGATTTTTCATCTGTCACTGCCATAATTCTGACCTTGAAATCAAGATTTGGCATAAAATAATGTCTTCAGAATCATTCATTCATGTAAAAAAAATCAGCTAAGAATTGAACAAATAATTGTAACCCGGCTCAGAGGAAGATAGGAATCATGTCTTTATGGCTGTTTTTCTAGTGATTAAGGAATAATACAAGGCTTCACCTTATAAATGTTTGTTAAAAGCAAAAATGCTACAAAATGCACATATTTTGTGAGCAAGTGTGACATGCTAGAGCAAAACAGGCACTGTTTTTGAAATCGGCACCCCGAAATTAGTAAGAAACGTGATGGAACTCATTCAGCTAATATGATGCAGGGCCCCGAGTTATTTATATTATAAAATAAATACCTAGTAATGTATATAAAATTAGGGTCTGTTCACAAAGAATGTGTTCCTGTGCCCATTTGCGCTGTTTATTCATTTGCCTATCCTATGTAAATCTATTAAAACCGTAATCGTGTTGAAACTTTTACTGATGCAGCATTACATACCTTCTTATCTTTGCTGGATGTTGCTTTGTAGACTTTCCAGTTCTTGCGGTCTTTGCTGAACATGAGGGTGTAAGATTCGATGTAGTAATGCGGTGTACCCTTTGTTATGATGCCTGAAAGCAGATGTGAACATTAGATTTTTTCTTATTGTGCTTCTGTTTATTTTACTGTGCAATGATTATTAGTGGTTGACCTATGACCTGTGACACTACT